GACTCTGCCTGCAAGCACAGTTTTCTGTTCCTTTCAAATGTCCCAAACACCAAAACACACTTAGAGCTTCAGTGTCCCTGGGAAGATCCAGTGTGATCATCACAGTTCCCGGCCTGTCTTTGGAAGCCACAAGTCAAGCAGAGAGGAATTTACTTGGCTGGCTCAGAAACTGGGAGCGCTCCCCATCACACTGCAGAGCTTCAGGGAGGAAGGCCTGGAGGGGTCTGAGAGCCTCCCTGCGGACACCAGAGGCTCGGGCCGGCCCCCCTGGGGCAGGCGGGGGAGTCGGTGGGCAGCACTCGACCTGGAGGCGGGAAGGTCAGGAGTAAATCCCTGCTTCTTTGGTCCTGACTTTGCCATTTGTTGGCACATCCTTGGACAAATTAATTTCTCGGGACCTGTGTTTCCTCCCCTGTGAAAGTGAGCTGGTGATGCCCACCTTGCCTGCAGGCCCTACTGCAGTGCTTTCCTACAGGTGTTATCATCCCCGAGAAACCACAGGCCCGTGGAGGGTGGGCTGGGGGCCCGGAGCAGAGCAGAGAGCACGTGGGTGCGGGTGTCCTGTGAGTCACCCTCCGACTCCGTGGCACCGCATGGCTGTAGCCAGCCTCCGCTAGAAAGAGAGGCACCCCATCTCACACGGAAGCTGGGTTTGGGTGCAGGAAAGGGGGAACGTGGTACGTAAACAGATCTGGCAAACAACTAAAACCTGGGCTAGTGTGTGGCCCTGGGAAAGCCGCTTCACCTCTCCGACCCTGAGTTTCTTTGTTAGTGAAATGGAGACATTAGTACCTCATCTGCAGGCTAAGGATGTGAGTTAAATTGTGTACAGGTCCAGTCTGAGACCTGGTACACAGTCAGCCTCAGTAAATGTCGGGTAAAAGTAAAAGTACCATCTCTAAGTAGTTCCAGGAAGTACTTATTAAGCACCCATTGTGCTCCGAGCGCCCGAGACGGTCGGTGTCAGCGCAGTGTGTCCTGAGTCCACCGCAGTCTCTCCCCGCAAGGAGCGTGTGGCTGTGAGTAGAGTGCCCTGCCTGCTGCTTCACCGCACGATTCTGTATTTTCAGTCTTTTTTTACATTAAAAAGCAACAAATCTAAACATAATTGGAAATGTACCATATGCACAATTTTGGAGGCTGGGTTTTTCACTTGATATTACTGTGTTTTTTGGACTGTAAGATGCACCCCCTCCTCCCAGTTTGGGAGGAATAATAGTTGTTAATGCTGCTGTTGAGTTCTGTTTACACTTACACTGGTGAAATATTATCTTATTTATGTTATTAAATATTTTACCACATTTTTTGCCTCAGAATTTTTATTTCTATTTTCCTCTAAAACCTAGGTGTGTCTTATGGTCCGAAAAACATGGTACATCCTGAACCTTTCCTCACATTGTCAAATATTCTGCATGGCAATGGTCTGAAGTGACTACACAGTGTTCCACTGCTGGCTGTTCTCAGGTTCACTTGGCCACCCCGATATTTTGGGGCATTGATGAATAAATGGTTTTCAAACAACTCATTTTTTTAAAGATTTTATTTATTTTTAGAGAGAGGGGAAAGGAAGGAGAAAGAGAGGGAGAGAAACATCTATGTGTGGTTGGTTGCCTCTCATGTGCCTGCTACTGGGGACCTGGCCTGCAGCCCAGGCATGTGCCCTGACTGGGAATTGAACCGGCGACCCTTTGGTTCACAGGCTGGCACTCAGTCCACTGAGCCACACCAATCAAGGCTAAAAACAACTCCTATCTGTTGGGACGTAATTCCTAAGCATTCCTGTGTGTTAAGGATTATTACTCTGTTGTTGAAAAGTTCTGAGTTGCAGGGGAGAAGGATTGACCAGATGACCACAGGACTCCCTTCGAGGCCAGGGGATCCCATGGGCCCTCGGGTGGCGTGAGTGGGGAGAGCAGGTGTGGCAGGCGCCCCAGCCCATGGTGTGCGGCAGCTAATTAGCCAGCCCTGAGTCGCTGTCATCACCCAAGAACTGTATCGATTTCAAGCTTCATTGGAGTCCAGGCAGCAAAGAAAAGATGATAATTAAACATTTTACCAAATAGACAACATTTCTAGTCCAGCCAGAATCTGTTGACATGTTTTCCAGCTATTAAAAATGGTTGATAGTTGATAGTTCATTTTTTATTGATGTGTGAGAGAGAAGCGAGGAGATCTGTGAAGCAGCGAGTGTTCCTGCTGGTCCCAGGCACCACTCATCTCCCCTCGGGGCCAGAGCTCGCCAGGGCGCGCACCAGCCCGAACCACGGAGCCGGCGGGAGTCGCCTCTTATGTCAAGGCTCCGGGTTCTAGAACAAAGGAAGAGGTTGAAAGGAGAGGAGACAGCCCCTGGCCCCCGTCCCTTCACCTCTTCCTCTAAAAATGATGGAAATAGACTTGGATAGTGATTTCAGTTAATTTCTGCCAAAAGCAATAAATTAGAGGTTGAAATGTGCAGCCCCTCCTTCCCAGGGGAGGCGTGATGCTCCCCAGACGCCCGAAGACCCCTTCGAGGAGAAAGTTATGGTCATTTCTGATCCCCAAACAGTGTGAGCTGTTTTCATTTGGCTCCTGTGGGGAGGTTTGTCTCGTCCTGAGACAGTCTGAGTGTCCCTGGACTCACTGCCTGCTCTTGCAGCCCCATCTAGGCCTGGGATTTGGGTCACGTTTCAGGCGTCGAGTAGTGCTTTTGCAGACCAAAACCTTCGCGAGGCCTGGAACTGTGATCTGTCTCTCGCTGTGCCTGTAACTGGAGCAGCACGCCACCAGTCCCCGTGCGTCCGTGCGAGTGAGCGAACGCAGGCTGCTCGCCAGCGAACCGCAGACTGTGGCAGAGGCCAGAGGAAAGCCGCTTGCGTGCAGATCACCGTCCGGGCAGCACAGAGCGGAGAGCTTCCCCCACGGGGACGACCCCGCAGTGCAGGAAGTCGGAGTTGGTGTGTGAGCCCCTTGGGCAGCTCCCGGTGGGCAGGGAATCTCTGCAGACATCTCAGGGCACCCAGTCACTGTCGGGCATGTAGTAGGCGCTCAAGACACGAGAAGTGGTTGGAATGGTCATGAACGAACGGAACAACGAATGAACAAGCTACTTCCTTAGTTTGCTCTTGGACCCCGGTGCTAGCTCATGCCCAGCATAAAGCGGGCCCAGGAACTGTGTCCAGCAAATGCACAGTGGGTCAGCAGACACCAGGGAGAGCCGCTCCGTGCCCTCTCAGCCTGCAGAGGGTGGTTGAGCGCACTCTGTCTCCGAAAACTCCCTCTTTTCTGTTTAATCTTTACCCTAGGATATGTTTTATTGATTTTAGAGAGAGAGGAAGGGAGGGAGGAGGAGGGGGGAGAGAGAGAGAGACACTGACATGAGAGAGACGCTGGTGGGCTGCCTCCTGCACGCGCACGCCCTGACCGGGGATCAAACCCGCAGCCTTTCAGTGTGTGGGGCAAGGGCCGGACTGGCTGAGCCACCCGGCCAGGGCTCAAAGCTTTCTTGACAGTGATGTCTTCTCTCTTGATTCCCCCACCCCTACCCCAGCTTTGTTGTAGATTTCGGCAGGCCGTTAATCATATCCTACCTCTGAAATACCTTCCATTATTGTCCTAAGCTGTCATTTGGGTCTGGTTAATGGACTCTTCTCACTTTTCTACTCTGTTTCCCATTGGAGAGTGGGCTGAGGGCTTGTGGGCAGTGCTATAATCTGGGAGTCGGAGGCCTTACTTAGCTTTGAACTCTTTCACAAGTCACTTACCTCTCTGAGTCTTTGCCTGTGATGCTGTAAAGCTGGGAGCAAGGCCAAGGGCTGCTGTGAGGGGGGATGAGACCCGGTGTGTGAAAGCACTTCATAAACTGCAAGGTGCTTTACTGAAATGGGGTGCCATTATGACCCCAGCTCTGGGAGCCCAGGGGCTGTTTCTCATGCGACATCCATCTCTCAGGATATCCAGGTCACCTGCCTTTCATCTGCTACCTTTGCTGAAAGCTGGGTTCCTCCCTTCCTGAGGGGTTGGGAGCCATCTCTACTCGTTGGCTTTCAAACGCCCAGGAAGGCACAGTCACCCTGAGTTTGTAGAGGAGGCAAAGCAGATGCCGGTGGTAGCTGACCCTTCCGTGGCCAGGCACTGGGCCGTGCGCTCACGTGCACCAATTTCCTTTCTTTTCTGCAGCAGACCCATGAGGTAGGTTACCCCCACGTGGCCCTGGAGGCAGCAAAGCACGGAGATGAGGATGAGCAGCCCGAGGTCACGCAGCCAGTGGCCATGTCAGGAGGGTGTGGACCCCTGGGTTAGCCCCCGAGCTCGAGCTCCCTAACGTGTGAGTCTTCAAGCTGCCCCGGGGCTGGAAGCCTGCAGCGTAGGCCAGGTAGCCCACCTGCATCCCCTCCCCCCCTCCACGGAGGGTCCCTCAGGGGCTGTCTCTTGCCCAGGACCCCTCTTGGCTCCTGTGCTCAGCCCCTTTCTCTCTCCAGTGGCTCCGCTGTCGCCCTCGCTTCCCTCCCTGCCCTTGACCTAAAACAGGAAATGAGAGCAGCTGCCAGGACATTCTAATTCATTCCTGAAACAGTTCTGCATGGTCAAGGAGGGAAGGACCTCAGGAATCCTCTGGGTTAGGATTGTTAAGAGAAAAGGGAGGCCTGTGCTGGCACAGATTGATGCCCAAACCATTTAATAGCAACACAAAGAAAGAATTGTGTTTGGGTGACTTACGAGCAGAGAGGCAAAAATTCTAAACAACGCATCAGCAAACTGGATCTGGCCGTGGAGAACAAACCTAATGTATCACGCCCAAGTAGAGTTCATCCCAGAAAGGTGGATGTGCTTAAGCCTGAGAGCACAGAGGCTGGGGTGGGGGGCCGCTGCCGGGCTGGCAGCAGCCCAGGGCCCGGCCTGAGGCACTTGCTGGTGACAGTCCCTCCTTTGCCCCCAGGCCTCCACCTTCAGGTGGCCTCAGAGCAAAATGAGACACCCTGTTCCCGGCCCTCCCTAATCCTCTCTCTCCGTTTCTCCTGCAGGATTCCATGTTTTCGTTGGCCCTGAAATGCCTTATCAGTTTGTCCACCATCATCCTCTTGGGCTTGATCATCGCCTATCACACACGTGAAGTCCAGGTAGGTGTCCTGGCCCTGACCTCTCGTGCAGTGGCCATTTTCTCTCGCCGGGCTGAGCCCGTCCCGACCCCCAAAGTCACCTTCTAAGCAGCTACTCCGTTGATTTCATAAGATGGTGTCCAAGACTGTGGCTCTTCTCAGGGTCTGGACCCTCGCGGGAGAGGCACTGTGAGGCCGCCCTGTGGCTTAGGAACAACTGTGACGTTATTTTTACTGGGGGAATCCAGAGGCGAACGGTTTAGGGGTACTGTGGGAGCCCCCATGAGTTGCTTTGACTTTCCTCCCTCACTGGATCCTTTCTGAACTGGAGCCACGAATACCCCCAGTGAGATAGACCCACGCGTGTCCTCCTGCGTGTGCGTGTGCTCACATGCACACGCACTGCACCGAACACCACCAGGAGTCTGTGTTTCCATGTGGTGTGGACTCTACTGCCTCTGGACACCGTCCTGGGAAATACTGGCAGGTGTTTGGGGGGCGCTTCTGGTTGGCTGGCGGAGGGTGAGATGCCGGGCCTGGTCTGGAGAGGGCAGGCGGGAGTGAACAGGCCTGTGGCGTCTTCTCCTGGCGGTGGGTTTCTGCCATCGCTGGCCCTCCCGGCTGCCCTGCCGTGCTGGGGACCTGGATGTCCAGGTGTTCTTTCTCACACTTGTGAATCTGGATGTACTCCTAGTCCTTTGGCTGGAGGAGCACAGATAGATTCCCAACTGGGCAGTGGCAAACGAGTGACAAAGACCAGAACTCAGAGTTGGGACCTCGGGAGTTAGGCCTCAGCCATGACCTCTTCCCACGGTGTGTCTGGCCAGTCCTGTGACCTTTCTGGCTTGGAACATGTGAACCTTTTTCATCTGGAATATGACGGTTTAATTCCATACTTCACCAGTCGTTGTGAGGGTGGAGTGAGGGGCGTGTGAGAGAATGCTTGGTGAACCGAGTAATCCTTTGTTACTCACCGTTTTTGGGGTGGATTGGCCGCACAGACAGACGTGGTGTGCGCAGCTCCCTCGAGAGAGTGGGCCGGCTTTCCTGCTGAGTGTCGGGGCGCTGCTCTGGCTCCGGGCCCCCTTGGCAGGGCCCCAGTCTGCCGACAACCAGATGACACTAGTCCAGAAGGCTGGGACTGTTGAGTCTCTGGAGTTGTGGGTGCTCAGAGAGATGTGCTCCAAGGGTTGACAGTCCCAGATGCCGTCACGGAGCTCGGACTGGACAAAGTGTGTGGCTTTCAACCTAGACTACTGTCCAGTCAGCCCAGGACTGGGCTGGAAAGGGGCAGGAGTGTGCGCAGAGGGGCAGGGGCGGGAACCAAGATGGGGCCCGGAGCCACTCTGAGCCTCAGGCCAGGTTTCAGCTTCCCAAACCAGTCACACACCAGGGAGCCCCTCAGCCCCTCTCAGCCCCCGTGTCCTCGCCTGTCGGGTGTCCGTGTTGCTGCAGATCACCCTGACCCGTGCGCAGAGAAGATGGCAGAATCATCAAGTCCAGCCACGATGCGGGCTTGAGGGGGGTCGGGGCAGAAGGGCAGTTCCCAGCCATGGCCTGCAGCGGGCCTTCTCAGCCTCACGGCCTCCTCTCTCCACCCCGGGCTCTGGGACTGGCGCTGCCCTCCCTCTGACTCTCCCGGGGCTCGTCCCCAGCTCAGGGCCTGCAGCCTTCGCTCTCACGTGTGGCCTGGCCTGGCTGCAGCTGTGACCTTGGCTCTGGCCTGGTGGCAGGGCCATGTTGCTGACAGGCCAGTGCCTGGATGGGCACCCTTTGTCTCATCCTCAGCTCATGGCTAATCTTTGCTTTGTCCTAATTGTGGGCTGTAGAAGATGCTGTTGTAGTCACTTCCCTTGGCCTGGCCTCACAGTTTGGAGAAACGAAGTGGAATCAGTGGTTGGAATCCTGGCTGGACACTTCAGCCTGCGTGACCTCGGGCCAGTGACAGCTCTCTGGGCCAGTTTCCCGTCTGAAGTGTGGCTGTCACACGACCACCTCATTGAGCTCTTGAGGGGTTGTAACAGCAGAGAGTGCCGAGTGGGCTTTCGCAAAATGAAAACTTCAGTCCCTTTTCTGCCCCACTGTTTCCAGCTGGGCCTCGTTCGTGTACAAGCTGGGCCCACCAGATGGCCACTGTCACGGCCGCCTGGTACTGGCAGGTGCCTGGGCGTCCTCTCCACTCTAGCCCGGCCCTGCCTGCATGCTCAGCTCATCGCCCAGCCCTTTATCCTACTTGACCCGTGGAGTCACTGGTGTCTGGCTCCCTCTGTGCCTCTTACCTTTCCAGCAAAGTTCTTTCTGCACGTAGATGGGCCTTCTCCTGCCAGAGGGAAATAGGAGTGGTTTGGGCCCAGATTGTCATGGGGGGTGGGGGGGCGTGGGGAGGGCTTGTTCCTATGCCTATACCCCTTGTATGGATCACACTGTAATTTTCTGTTCCATCCTACCTCAGGGACAGTGATGTCATTAATCTTTGCATTTCAAAGAGGTGTTTGTTGTGCATGTTTTGAATGAAAGGGGAAAGGGTGCCGGATTCGGTGTGTCTGGTTTCAAAAGCAAAATTTAGACCATTGCTTAGTTCTGTGGATTTCACCTCAGGTTCCTCATCTGTTAATTGGGGATCCTAAGCCTGCAATTTTTTAAAAGATTTTATTTATTTCTTATTTAGAGAAAGGGGGAGGTAGGGAGAAAGAGAGGGAGAGAAACATCTATCACTTGCCTCTTGCACATGCCCCAACCTGCAAGCCAGGCACGTGCCCTGACCGGGAATCGGACTGGTGACCTGTTGCTTCATGAGATGACACCTGACCAACTGAGCCGTGCCGGCCAGGGCAAGCCCCCCAGTTCTGTGATTCTCCGATCGAGGTGTGGTGTGCAGCCAGCGGGGGACCTGCTTCCTGAGGGGTGCGGACTGCCAGCACTTGTCCAGAGCGGAGCTCTCGGACGGCACCGTCTGTCGGAACGGCCAGCTGCTGCTCACCTGTTGTGAAGCTGGCCAGGGTCAAGTGACACACAATGTGTGGCTCATTGCTCCACAGGGTGATGTCAGGGGCTGTGGTCAGGATCTGCTTGTCACTTCTGTCATGCATACCAGTTGCTGGTCACTTGGCTAAGTTTTAGCAGGGGCCAGATGACCTGGCCTCCACGTCCCCCAGCCCTGCCGCCGACACTCACCTCCAGGCTCCAGGCCCTGGCCCCGCCCATACATGCTGCTGGGGCACCTTCTAGACTAGTGTTCCTGTCTGTCAGTTTGGACAACTTGTGTTTTGAGGAAGAAGAATTCTGGAACATTATTGGGTAACTCTCAGTCAGACTCAGGCTTTAAGTCGGAGAGCCTCTGGCTCAGAGGTGGCTGGCGCACCCCTCCCTCCCCAGGGCATGAGCCCCTTCTACCTCTGTGGGCCTGCCCAGGCCTGGGGGTCTCTGCTCCTTGGGGGAGGGTGTCCCTCGATGGGCAGCACAAGGTTTCGGAGGATCTGCCCTCCCTCTGGGAGGAAGCGGGCTTCCCCGGCACCTCCACTCCGCCTGGCTCGGGAGCAGGGAGGACGAGGTTTCCTGCCAGGCAGCCGCTGGAGCTGGGAGATGGCCTCCGGCTCTGCTCATCCCGCCTGTCTCGCTGTTGTGGAGCGCACAGCTTTCAAAGGCTCAGGCGTCTGTAGTCCTCAGGCCAGTGTGTCCTGGAAAGAAATGAAAACACAGAAAACCAGCATTATGTTTACTTACCAACACACTGAAAGCCTTCCTCTCCCTTGGAGAGTCCTCTCACCCTTGTGGTTTGGGAATCGCCCGCTCCCAGACAGGCAGCGGCAGCCTCCCAGGCTGCAGGCTCTCGTTTTCGATGCCACTGGCACGTCCCTGGCTCCACACACAAGACATGGGACTCTCTCCGGCCCCGGCCTCCTCCCTCCCCTACTCTTAACCACCCATTCGGCTCATTCATTCAACATTTACGTACAAGATCTCCTCTGTGCAGAGCTGGGGCTGGAGTCCGGTTCTCGGTGCTCGAAACCCTGCAAGAACCTTTGCTTCTCCAAGGGGTTGTCAACCTTCAATAAATCTATGTCTGATCCCTGCCTCCAGTGCCACCCTGGAGGGGAGGGTGGCAGGTGGCTGAGAACATGGACTTTAGAGTAGTTTGGCATAGGTTCAAATTCTGCCTTTTGACACATTGTAGCGTGTATGGTGACCTTTAGGAAGTTACTTAATCCCTCTTAGTCTATTTCCTTCCTGCAAAATGGGACTAATAATAGTACCTACCACAAAGGGTTGTTGTGCAGATTGAATTAGATAATATATGCAAAACACCTTCTCTTAAATGAGGAGGTGTTTGCCTGGCAAACAGGGTGGGAGGAACACACCACACAGAGGTCTCCAAATCAACAAAGGCCCCGAGCTGGGAAACTGCAGCGCACCCTTGGACCGCCTCTGGGACGAGGGCCTGAGCAGGGGGCAGGTCCGCTGTGGGGTGTGGGCAGGACCAGCAGGTCCTGGTCTGTCTCACTGAAGGGTTTTGGAAATGTCCTGCAGGCAACAGTAGACACCATGGAAGGGGTTCAAGCTGGGGGGAGTGATGATCAGATTTGCATTTTAGCTGCAGCATGTCAAACGTTGAAAGGGCCAATTTCTGAGGGAGAAAGGTGAGTTGGAAGCATGTTACCATTGTCCAGGTAGGGGATGGTCATGTTTTGAACCAGGCAAGACAAGAGCTGGACTTGAGAAACGTTGAGCAGGTGGAATTGACCAGACCTGGTCACCAGTCAGGATGGAGGTTCTGTCTGTAGGAAGAGGAGGCAGCTGGAGTTGCTTGGGTAACGCAGCCGCTGGGAGCACCATTTATTAAAATTGAAACCACAGAAGGAAGTCGGATGGGGAATGATAAGCAGGTCAGTTTTAGGCATATTGAGTTTGAGGTTTGGGGGGCAGGCGGGTGGGCATGCAGTTGCCTCCTGGGCAGTGACACAGAGGCCAGGGCCGCATCAGCAGGGGCAGTGGGGTGGAGGAAGGCCCAGGACGGATCCCTG